GTTTGTATGCGCAGTGTTGTCTTTTTCTCTTTAGTGCTGTCTCCAGTTCTTGCCTCGAGTTCCTTACTTGCATTCTCGTCCCCCCTTGTGTACCCTGTCCCAAATCCTGCTAGCAAACAAGATATAGACTTTCCTCCATCCCTACTATAACACCACTATTCAAGCAAACAGTATTTCCCTTCCCCTATCCCAGGTACCTACGGTAGAAATCAGGAGCACACTTCCTTATTCTTTCCGTCCTTCACCGTCCAAATGTAAGTTACTTAGTCAACCGGCAAAAGATCTACGCCATTTAGTCCTTACATCTACCTATCCCAGCCATTTTACCCTGCCTCGAACGAAACACCCGCCGCACACCACCCCCACTTCCACCTGCCATCCGCCGTGGGGCAGCCCTATCAGCCTTCTGGGCGCAAAACGCTGGATGTAGCAGATGGGGTGGTAGTGGAGGGGACTTCATGTGCGGGTTCCAAGCGCAGAGATTGGAGCTGAGGGGGGGGGGCGGATTGGTAGGGTGGGTTGAGTAGTTACGTGGTGTGGCCACGTAGGGGAGACGGGGGAAGGGGGAGGGGAAGGTGATGAGCGGAAAGAAGGAGGAACCGTGTTGCTGGTTTTTGCTGCAGATACGCGGGGTACAGAAAGGACTCATTGGGAAAGGAGAGAGGGGGAAAGAAAGGGGGAAGAGGGCGGGAAGGGGGGAGAGAGACACTGCAGAGGATACAGGAGGGGGAAGGGAAGAGGGTTGGTAATGCATGAGCACTTTTTTGGGTGTGAATTCGAGACGCGGGAAGGGGGTTAGGATGGGTATGAGGGAAGTAGTGTGTGCGAGTTTCACGTGCAGAGATTTGAGGCAAGGGGAGGGGGTTGGGCGGGTACATTAAACGGCTACGTGGCGTAGATCCTTTGGCAGCTGCCTAAGCCACGTAGGGGAGAGGGGAGGGGGTGATGGCTGGAAAGGAGGAAAACAAGAAAGGAAGTAAAAGCAAGAAAAGCAAGCGAAGAACCAGCCATCAGTAGGGAGTCATTCCCATCTATAAAGTTGATGCTTAGGTAGGGAAAGCTGAAGGCGAATAAGATGAAGCTTTATCCAAGCATCAGCTTCACAAGTACGAAAGCTTTAAGCAAACGAAAGACTCGTTATCAGCAAAGGAATTTCTCATTTATGAAGTTAATGCTTAGGTAAAGCTGAAAGATCAAATAGCTGATGGTTAGGTGTAGCTGAGAACTCTGAGCTTCATCCAAGCATCAGCTTCATAAGTAAGCTTGTTCTCCTCTATCCTGTCCTCAGCCCGTGCCCTCTGAGCTGTATCGAGACAGCGAAACGCCGGGTATCGCTACCCAGCACACCTGACAAGGTGCCAAGTGGCGTCGAGGAGACTCGCCGCGAAATAACGTTATCAGAGGTGCAAAGTAAGAGCCGAGCCGTGTTTTGGTAGTTGCCCATCTTTCGTTCTTTTTGCCAGTGTCGATTCTTTCTGTTGTCTTCTTGGTCGGTCTTTCCGTTGAAGTCCTCGACAGCGACTGCAAATGTGAACTTGATGATTAATATGGATTCGATCGCAGCATAGAACTCTTTCATCTCATCGTCATCGCTAGCTGCGCTGGGGATGTGAAATTGGGCGACTTTAGGAGTTTTATTATAATCTAGCCTGAGAAGCAGTACGCTAGTTCATGACGAGTGAAACTAACAAAAGATGATTTATGAAAACCACTGCCTGCCCCGCTTCACCAACACTCCACTGTTCCTCTCCAGTGGCAAACAAACCGACTTTCTTTCCAGGATACGAATTCCCGATCCTTCATCGTGTTTCACCCACGTGGAGGACGTGAATGCTGTTTTATCGATTTCCCAGAGAAGATTGTTCGTGTGTTCAATACTTGACAGGACCTACAGTTGTAGATGCCTATCGACAGGTCAAAGCCGTTCCATGGTAGCGTTCGTTCAACACTTGATCCTAGCAATCTCTTACCCCCTGGCTGCCAATCCGCCACCACGAACTGAACCAAAGGGCGTGCATGGTACTAAAATCTGGTTTTTATGCTTTTTTTCTTTTTGATGCAAGTGCAAAGGTGCATATTGACGAGAGATTATCGATGTGTGTGTAGGTGTGTGAATGTGTGTATTTGTGTGTGTGTGTGTGTGGGTGTGTGTGGGTGTGTAGGTCCGGGTTTTGTCACTACTTTCAGATCAGCAACCGGGGGTGAAGTAGATAGACTAAATAAATAAGTGTAGAAAAATATCTCAGAAAATAAATGAATACCTCAGTCGAAAAGAACAAAGTGCAGCATTTTTCAGTGCTGCCTAAAGTCCGCCAACGGCTTAGTAGCGAACAGTTGATCGGTGTCTTTTTAAGGCATGAAACGGCGTAACTTATAAGAATATTCCATGACACGATAAGAAGCGAAAGGCCAATTATGAGGTGCAGTATCTGACCAGATGTGAATGCCCGGACTGCACTGTCAACGATCCACTGCTCGTTACACTGTGGCGTACCACAGTAACATAGTTTGTTGTTCCCTGTATTTTATCGCATTTAATTTCTTTACAGGGGATATTGCAGGGTGGGGACGCAAAGCTAAAGAAAAAAGACTATCATTTTGGCATTTTATTCTATGAGTTAAATATGCACATAAACAACAATTTATAGGAAAGCACAAATTAATAATTCGAATGCAGGTAAGTGAGCCGTGTATGAGCTTTCTCGAGAGTTCCTACTTGAATTTAAGTCTTTCTTTTTTACTAATGATTTAGACCCATATTTTGCTCTGCTGTGATTTGAGAATCAACAAAGCTAACATTTTTGAAAATTTATATTTGATTTTTTGAACATTTTTGAAAATTTATACTGTAATTCGAAACAAATGGCCTGAAATGTTATTTTTTCTTACTTTACCGTATCCTGACCTGCAAGCTCATTTCCAAACTTAGACTGATTGAACAATTTTAGAATGGAATAATAAAATAAAGCCTTGCGTGCCTGCCCTGATTTTTAAGCAGGTGCTTAAAAATCTGGATTTTATTCCTACATTATTTAAGACCGAATAACTGGCTCGAATTAAATTTCAAACTATTGTTTACTGATATTTGACAACACCTTCGGAAATGCGCTGGAATTTCAGTTCAATACAAGATGGGTTATATAACCAAAATTTGACACTTACGGTGGCCAACCCTTATGCGTATTGTCGCATCCGCTCTGGAGCAGCCTATTGCAAATATGCAGGACGGTGGTAGCCAAAATTATGTGCCAACATTAAGTCTATGCTCGTCTATTTCGGAACGTTCAGAGACTTTTCAAACAAGTTTGGCTAGGGACGAATTTTAATGATTTTTCAGCTTTTTAAACAGATTTGTATGAAAGCTGGCCTGATATCATGCAGATTTGTTGGTGTTGACCATGAACTGGTACATATGGCATCGCGACTGCTTGATGATTCTGCGGTAAATCGCACCCATATTCTTGAAATTTACCGCTTGTTGCCGAATATACTAGATGGTAGCAGTAACTAGTTCCTTTGCACAGAGCATTATCTTTGCCCGAGTTTAAGCAAACTAAGCTTTCGTTGAGTCCATTCCTAGAGCAAATCATAATTACAACGGCTTACTTGTAAATTTCTGACCCAGATACCTCAGCGTGGTATAGAAGTTGTACAAGCAATGTCGACGAAAAGCTAGAAAGATATAAACAGCTTCCCGCTTGGACTTTTATGAGTACCTGAGGGGTAGATATACTCAGTAAGCTGGAAATTCAGGATCGCACATAAAAAGTAAGCTCCCTAAAATTTTAGCTTTTTATCTTCTCTGATCCTCAGATTAGTAAATTCTCTCCAAAATCTTCATTTATCCGCGCACTAAGGCGTGACAACTAAAATTATGTGTGCAGGTTGCACACGGGCCAAAAACGTCCCACAGAGCTCTAACCTTCTAATTTTTCGGATTGTCGAATTGGAAAGACGGCTCCTAGTACTCGGTTTGGATGGCCGCGCAATATGCAGTCGTCTGTAGATTAAAGGGGCAGCGATAGACGTGTGCCGCTTCGGTTTTTAATGCGTTTTGCTGTGCAGCGCTATTGCGCTGCCCCAGCCGCAAAAACGCATGTTGTCGAAAGATCGTCTCTGTATGTGTGTCCGGAGGCGAGTGAACTTTGTCACCCACTTTCATCTCAGCAAACAGGAAAGCTGGGAGGCTGAAATGTTGGGTATGTTCGTACCCTGTGTGCCATCCTACTGTTTTCAAATTTTCGCACATACGTGCCTACACCTCGCCTACGGGCCCCCGAAAAAATATGCATATTTCTTTGGCAGGAAACGATCTCGCGAACTAGGCAAGTTACAAAGCTGAAACTTTGCAAGGATATTCCCTACGTATGTGCGAGCTTAATATTTCAAATTCAGTTGCCGCGCACGCTTGTGCAGCGTGTGCGATCACGTCAAAGTTTGTAACTTTATATTATGCTAACTCGAAAACTTGCCAAAAAACAGTGGCTGAAATTTTGTCAGCACGTTTATCGCCCATATGAGAAATCGCATACCTAGATTGAGCTCTGAATTGCACTTGCACCAAGACTTACGGCACTTCAGAGATATTTGTAGTGAATTGGCTATTTCACTTATCGGATAATGTGCGAGGCTGAAACTTCGCTGGGATATTCTACTTTCAAATGCGGTCTTAATTCTGCTTGGAATTGAAATTCCGTGCAAGTGGTTACGAAAAATACTAAACTTTACCAAAAAATCAGAAACGAGTGCATTTTGCAGCGAACAACCGCCCTCATCCAAATATGTAAATAAACATTCAGTTCATTTGCATACTTTGATTTTTTGACGAACGACCACTTCAGCAAAATTTTCACTTTTTAGTGATCTAGAAACTTGCATTTTTTCAACCCAGGCTGGAACGCACCAGGCTCCCCGGTGCGATCATGCGTTTTTGCACTAAACTCGCAGAT